GCTGATGCCGCTGCCGCGGCGGCTACTGCTGCTGCTGCTGCTGCTGCTGCTGCTGTTCTTGTGGTGCGGTGGAAACGACTTTGCCCCCTCGCCGAGATAAGGAAGTGAGTCAAGTACAGTACGTGTTGTGGTTTGGGCCATGGGTTCTAGTTAGGTTTGTGTTGAGTGTTTTGGTGAGGCTTGTTTTTGAGAGTCTGAGTCTGTGACCTTTGAGACCATTAACGGTGTTGCAGAACGTTTTTTTTCGAAACAAACAGCAGCGTCACAAAATGTCCTTTTTTCTTGGCTTGAGCAAAATTGAAGAACTGTACACTGCCCCGTCAGGAGTGCATCTGAGGTAACGCTCTTGACGAAGACGATCAACGGTTATGAGGACATTGTGTCCACACCATGGCACAACGCGGCTGACTGCCGGTCAACTTCAAGCCGTGGGCCCTGGCCTCATCATTGCGCAACTTGCACATGTGCCACAACCTTGAGCATGGCATTTGGCCGAGGACATTGCTCAATCCGGAGCGGCGCCGGCAGGCGTGGCTAGAATTTGGGATGGCGAACATCATTGAGCATTTCGGGTTTGTGTGTTCTGTTTTCTTTTCTTGTCTCCTCTGGCTTCTCCATGTTAAGAAATAGCCAAGTACAGCAAAATAACGAAATCAAAACAGTTTTCTTGTGATGCTTGAAATCAAACCGGGGTAAACCAGATGAGAGCCTTTGTCCTGCAAACACTGTTCTCGATCCATTTGGTGTTCTAGAACGATAAAGGCCCTTTTCAATAATTTGCATGAGACAGGTGATGACGGACAAACATACGACAGTAAACAAGTTTACGCCTGTGATTTGCCAAGGATGCTCGCCCAAACTTTCCAGCCCTTCGCGATCCTTTAAGACCCTAACTCCTCCATCCCAAGTGGCCCGCTCTCGCAATGCAAACGTGGTAAAACATGGCGGCAGCTGTCACCACTTGTCCAGAACCACAAGGCCACAAGGTCACACAAGTATTGAAACACAGGATCCCCGAGAACATCACACCCAGCCTCCAAATCAATGGACGTATGCTGAATCAGGCAACAGTCTTTTAATCTTTCGCTCCAAGAGATCTAACACCAGATGTTTCTCAAGTTGATGTTGCTGCAACGGAACCCAAGCTGAACATGAGCTGACTTGTCTTGGCCTAGGCATGCCAATGGGAGATGCTGGGATAGATGGGGACAGCCCGTGTTCCATGCTTAGATCAACATACCCCACTGGCATCGGCTTGATTTGACAGGCTATGTGCGCCCCCAGCAAACGCTTGTTGTTGCTTCCTTGTGCCCCTCACTCGCAGGCAAGACTAGTTGTTGATCTTGGCCAGCCCGTCGAGAGCAAGGAGAGAGATGCTGCTGCTGTTGAGGCTGGGTTTGGATTTTGCATTGCGATCGACACCCTGCTTTGGCAGTCTCATATTTTCTAGGCAATCGTGTGAATTATTGCAGAATGCCTGTTTCCTGTTGCGGCGGGCTTCAGGCCCTCGTCCCAAACTTCCTCACTGCAGTGCAGGAGTGACATGTTGCTGACCCTGCGTTAGGGAGTCTTAGGCCAGCATGATCCAGCATGTTATCAGGCAAGCAACAGTTGACACATGAGAACATGAAGGAATGCAGAGTGCAACAAGCTCAAGAACTCTTTCACCAGGCCTCGGAGACTTTCTTGAAAGTGTTGCGATGACAATGATGACAAGGGCAGCTTGTTGGTGCAGATTCGTGCGGCTGACCGGGGTGAGCCATCGCCTTTGGCTGGCCTTCAGCCCTTTGGCAGCAGTAACCGATGCTGCTCACGTGGATGCAGTTGTTCCCCGCCGCATGGTGTTGCCAACGCAGGCAGTATCTCCTGCAGATTTGCACCTTGGATCAGGCACATGTTGACCTCCCCAGATGTTCTCAGCAGATGATCTTATGACAAAGAGCTACACCAGACCGAGGCCGGTTCAGTTTAGGGCCTGATTACGGCCTGCGTGCTTTGGACCTATGTGATGCTTTTCTGGTGCCTTGTTCCTCAGGTCAGTCTGGTCAGCCCTGCTGCGTTCAACGTGGTGAGCACAGTTGGATAGCCAGGAAGTTCAGCCGGAAGTGGGACCTGAGTTGTGCAGCTGATGCATGAGGCAATATTGCGTGGGTTGGTCTTCCACGGCTCCTTCGAGAAGGCAACCCAGCAGGCTTGCAAAAGTCAAGAACAGGCAAGAATGGAATGGCAGGCTCGATGGCTCGTGCACCATGAGATGCCGCGGTTTGGCGTGTTGCCGAATGAGGCTGCGCGTGAACCACGGACACATTTCCAAGGATCTGTCTCGTTGCTTCAACTGCAAAGTATTGTAAACGCTTGCGCTCGCCGCCTTGGCAGTCGTGCTGGTTGTGCTGGTTGGGCGAGGCGCAGTGCGCGCAACAAAACACACCCTTCAGTTGAGGAGCCAGGGCTCAGGCCTGGTATGGGGTCGGGGGCTGCCGGTCCCACCAACAGGGGCAGGACCACGTGACAGGCCGCAGTTGTTTTCAGGTAGAAGTACTCCTAAGGGGTGTCTTATCAACACACCTGGTGCGGGGCAGTCAATTCTCAGGTATTTCAAAAAGCCCCAGAACATATCAGTTGTGTGCGTTGTCGCAACAGTTCGTGTGAGTCGCTTGCATATCAAGAACAACCGCGAGCTCATGATGGCTGTACACGCCCGTTCCACCCCATCAACCCACTTTGCGTTGTGTTTCCACGCGACACAATCATCAAGCCCTGCCGGCACTTTGCCTTGTGCAAACAGTGCGCGACGCAGCTGAAGCGCAAAAGCTGCCCAGTGTGCCGGAGCACATTCAAGCAGACGGACACGGTGATCCGAATGGATGCACCACTTAGTTTTATCATGTTTTCGTTTTTTTATCTACTAGACCATCAGTCCATTTTATCAAAACACATCAAGACGAATATGCCGTGTTATGTAGCGACCCAGCTGAGGCTCTATCGTCTACCGCCTCCGCGACATTTTCTCCAACGGCAAAAGACATGTTCACTTTTGAATTGGATTAGGGCTCCAACGAGGTGATATCTTGGATTTCTGTTGAACGTGGGGTTTTAGACGGCGGGGAGCGTAAACATACGTATAATATAAATATAAATAGATAAATAAATAAATAAATATATATATATATATATATATATGTGTATATATATATGGTACCGCCAAGACCTACTTCGAAGTAGTTTGTACATTATAATCATGTTGCTGACTAATTAAAATGAAAGAAAGCAATAAAACAAATCTGATTTTTCATTGCTTTGAACATCGATGTCGAAGATCCCGCAGAATTTTTCCAGGATCTTCGATGTTCAATGTTCAATCCATTGAAAAATACAATTAGTTTTTTTTGTATTTTCGATTCGTTTTGATTTTGCACAAGTTGCTTGCTGGCCGTAGAATTTCTTGTAAAGTCGGGACCCAAATTGTAGATCGCGCGTGGGAATTTATCAAAGCCAGACTTTCCAGGAACCAGTATGTAAAGGCATCCTCCTTGTTGCTTGCTGCGCAGATTCGCAGTGCACAGTGGGAGTATTGGAACCGCCAACGAGATCTCTGGTTGTGTATTGGACATGTTGTTGCTTCCCACATGGAAGGCATAGTGAAGAGGTAAGTGCTTTACGAAGGCCACAAACAGTAGGTACGTCGGGGGGATGGCATATATATATATATATGCACATACATAACTGTATATATACTTTTGCATATATGCTCACCTATACGGACCTCTATATCTATAGATACACACATACACACATAGACCAAAAAAAAAGTGCTGGGATTGCCAGCACTTTACGCCCCGAGCAAAGCAAAAAGAGGGGAGGGAGAGAGTTTGGCTCCAGAAAGATGCCGTGAGCGGCCGCGAGCCCACGGAGGTGCTCGCTGTGACGCCTTTTTTTCCTAAATTCTTCCACACCTCCCCGGAAAGCAGGGGAACTTGACCTGTTGTTGCTACTCTCCGTCTCTTCCGCCGCGTTGCTGCGCCAGATCATAAATATGATTGCGCTGCTTATCTCAGGGGTCGTGACCCGTGGAGTTTGCATCTGTTCGGTGAGCGTTGCCTGAGCTGCTACTCCACGGGCACCGACGGCACTTCTCGGCTTGTGGGGCGTCGAACGAACGGGCCGCTAGAGCCAACCTTGTTCCACATGAGCACCTCGTATCCTATGCAAGCTTTGCAGTTTCTTCCATAATTGCTGGGCAGGGAGAATTGTTGATTGTCACGTTTCTTACTTGTGCCTTGTATGCTTTTGCTATGTAATCCCGCGAATGAACCTGACGCCGCCTGATGCGCGGGGAGAAACCCCTCTTTCGAAGCGTGCTAATTTCAACACAGCAGCCAATCGTCCTTTTGAAGTGTGGCATCATGGTCCACGACATAGGTAATTTCTGGTTCTTTTTCCCGCTGCAGCAGCTAGCTGTTATAAAGTGAGTGGATCGTGTGGTCTTGTCGGAAGGCTAGCTCGTGCTGGGCAACTGCCTCCAAGCACGGATGCTACATCTGTTGCATCACTTCTTTCAGCTTGGATTTTGTTTTTTACAGTCGTCCATGCAATTGAGGGTGCACCGCTTGTAACGTCGTGGCACCCGCAAGGCGGGAGAGCCCGGGGGGCCTAATTCGCCGGTTATAAGCCTGGGAGAAAAAAGACAGAAAGAGAGAGAGAGAGACAGAAACAGACAGAGTGGGCGAGAGCGAGAAAAAGAGAGAAAAGAGCGAAAAAGAAAGAAAAAATAAGAGAGAGAGAGAGAGAGAGAGACGCACAAAGAGAGAGAGAGAGAGAGAGAGAGAGAGCAAAGCAAAGAGAGAGAGAGAGAGAGAGACAGAGAGAGACAGGGAGCGAGAGCAAAGCAAAGAGAGAGAGGGAGGGAGGGAGGGAGGGAGGGAGGGAGGGAAGGAGACAGTGCGAAGGAGAGAGAGGGGTTGGGGAAAGAGAGAGGACGGCAGAGGCACGTGCAGTGCGAGATGCGCAAAATCTGCGTGAGTGGTGCCGCTAACGGCCTTGATGGCCAATGGTTCCAGCCAGCCATTAAGCTTGAGGAAGAAATCGGAGGAAACCTTTAACCGTAAGCATCGTGCTCCAGCCGCATGATCCGAACCGCTGTGCTCTCAATTCTGCTTGCAGGCCGTTTTCGAAGAGGCACTCCGCCTCGGCAGCGAGAAGGTCGGGTTTTCCGGTTTTGGGTACTTGTATGGTTGTTTTGGGATGCAGTTTTGGGGATGGATTTTGTTCATGGAGTTTAGCGTTTAGGGTATAACCATTCAATTGTGAAATTTTACAAGCACCCAAAAATTAAAGGACCTGGTAATCAAAGGACCTGGTTTTCTGAACCTTGTTTCTTTTTCAGCCTCCACCGGCCTTCCAGCAGCCTTGTCCCCGTAAGCCGTACCTGAACCACTCCGTGGCCGCTTGGCAGGATGCCAACGCCGCGCTCTGGCTTGCCGGACGTCTCCCCGAACTGGAGGATGAGGCCTGGGGTACGGGCCGAGTGGCTCTCCTTGCGTTGCTTCCTCTTCCTCTGCTGATGACGATAGTGGTGATGACGATCATAGGACATGGGTGGGGACGACACGGACTGTAGTAACATCAGTCGGGGTTTTCTTTCTTCTTTCTGCCCCATGGGTGAGCCTGAACAGTGGCAGGAAAGGGGCATTTGCCTCCCTCTCCGAGGTCACCCTGCAGCTGTCCCTCCGAAGGAGGTGGGACCACCATTGCCTGCAGGAGGCAGGACTTCGATCCGCGTCTCTGGAGTGTTGGGTTGAGATAACTTAAAGATCGAAATGGGTTACTGGGCTTTGTACTACAAGATTCGCGACTTGCTCTTCACAGCCCTTCGAAACTCGTCCAAAAACTTCGAATGCAACTTCAGGTCACCGAACCCCTAAAACCAAGCAAGGGGACATGGAGCATGAATGAACGACCGCCATAAAAGGCACATTCGTTTCTGAGAAGTCGCTGCCAGGCCCTGCTGAAGGCGCAGAGGCTTCTGGAGCCCGCCGCAGCGGCCGCCGGGGAGTTGGAGGAGCTGGGAACTGAAGCTCCATAAGATCGACGCCAAAACGGTTCTTTCCCCAAAACTGAGCCCACCTGAACAAGTCCTGCCAAAATTTCTTTGGGAGTGTCTTCGGCACCGTTTTTTGTGGGACTGACTCTCCTTTTCCCTGCACCTTCAGAGGAGTTCATGGAGGCTCTGGACCTTGCCGAGCCCCTGCGCCGCAGAGTCGAAGTCTGAAAGAGAGAGTAGGGAGTAGGCGGGGGCTCTACCATGGCAGAAACAGACCAAGGCTCAACTGCGCCTAAGCAAGAAACTGGGCCTAGAAACCTTGGGGGGCTTTTAGAAGGGCCCCGACCCTTTTGAAGCTCCCTCCGCCTTGAGGTTCCACGCCCCTCGCGCCCAGCGCTCCGCGGCCGGGGAGATCGATGCCCTGCTCGGCGCGCTGGGCCCAGGGCTCCGCGCGACGGCGGAGAAGAAGCTGGCGACGGGAGAGGTGCACAAGGCCGGGAGATGTCTTGCAGCAGTACTAGGAGGTATAGGTCCAGGTTCTAGTAGGCTAGCAAGAATATATTCAAGGTTCTATGATAAGAATCGTAGTACCACTCGCCCCCAACTTCTCTCCTCTAGAGGCCGAGAGAGGGGAAGCGCAGGTCGAGGCCCTCCTTGCGACCGTGGGCAGCGCACGGCTGGGAAGCTTGCAGCTCTCGGAGGTTCAGCAGGCGGAGACAACTCGCCGCGCCGCCACCGTTCCCCGTTGCCTGGGGTATGTATGAGCAGCATGAGTTCTGCTCGTACACGGTGCAGTGCGCAGGGGGTGTGGCAGAGTTTGGCAAGTTGCGCTAGCCTGAAACCCTAAACCCTGAAACCCTAAACCCTAAAACCCTGAAACCCTGAAACCCCAAACCGCCTGCTCGGGGATTGCGCATTTCTGGCGCAGGAAGTGCAGCGGCTCCGCGCCATGGAGCTTCTAGAGGCGCGGATGGATGTTGGGGGGTTTTGAAAGAGGCGAGAAAGAAGGGGTCGGAGATCAGGAGCAGAGCATCCGGAAAGCCAAGACAAGATCTCAGAAGGAGGCAGAAAGAACTGTGTACTGTAGGAACCTGATGAAGAAGACCTGGGCCTGCAACCTCAAAATAGTGAGTTCAAAGAAGGAGCCCTGGTAAAGGGCAAGGTTTCTGAATCAAGTTCCTACAGTATCATATCCAAACTCTACGCCTGGAAATTTTAACGCTACGCCGCCCGCCTCGGCTCTTTAGCGGCAGGGCGAGGGGGCAGTGCTCAGTGGATGTCGTATACACCATGCTAGGGGGGCCTCTCAACCCCAACCTTTCAACGGTTGAGCAGAGCACGGGAACTTCTGCATGCGGTGCGGGGGCAGTGGGGGGGGGGGGAAGGGGCGGGGAGGGGGGGGGGGGGGCAAGGCAGGGGGGAGGAGGCCTACAAATCAGGTAAAACGCAAAAACAGGGTGTCTGAGGAAACCCTCAAGACGCCTGGGCCCGTGGCCTCGGCGGATATCGTCGTACCACACAGAGGAGCCCCTATACCCTGCCTCGTGGCAGGCCGTGCTCTCCGCAGACTTCCTCCTGCCTCTCGGCGCTTTTGGCGTTGGGGCATTTGGGAGTTTCCGAACATAGGAGTACCTTATCTTGGGGTCCCTATCATCATGATCCTACTATTTAGGGTACTACATTACAGTCCCCTATCTTCGGAAACTCCCATTTCGGTTGAGGGCCAGGTTTGGGATGTCTTGGGGGCTTGATTAGCTCTGGGCTTGCAGGGGCTTGGGGTCTTGTTTTGAGGTATTGGGTTTGGGTTTTGAGGAAACCCAAAACACAGACCTGATTTCTGAGAGCTTCCGTACATGGTCAAGGGTGATGATGAGCTCTAAACCCTAAACCCTAAGCCCCCAAAGCGTACACATCTGGCTGCAATCCTTATCTTCACAGGATAGTGCTTTTACTTTGTTCTCGACTGTTCATATGATGGGAAACAGATGCAAACCCAGGTCCGCTTGCACACACTGTGTACGCCGTTTGATCGTATGTGGTCTCCGCTCCTAAATTGCTATGGGACTGTTCACCGAGATTCGATCTGCAAGCGCGTGATTTTTTGCACCACCCGAATCCGGGTGTTCCTGACCAACGGGCATTCCCATGTGACCTTCGTAGTTGCTGGAGAAAGGGAGCGACAAAAAAAACAAAGCGTGGTCCGCGAAGGTTTGTTCATCGTCCGCGAAGTTGTGCATGCTTGCATGATACAGATATGTGCGTGCGTAGAATGGTTTTGCAGGTTTCAGGCTGCAGATGTAGGGTCTAGGCAGGGTTCAGGGTTTTGGGTTCCGGCCTTTGGGATGTGGGGGCTTGTGGCTTTGTTTTGGGGTTGGGGGTAGATTAGGGGAAGCCCCGAAGCATCAAGCTGAAACCAAAGGAGATATCCCTGAAAACAACCAAAGAAACCCTGAGCCCTCAAGGCCCGAAGCCCCTAAGCCCAAGCCTACACTGCCAAAGCCCGTTTGATCAGGGTGGGGTCTTTGGAGCAGCGGCGACGGAAAGTGCGACATGCCGTCATGACTGTTAGTGCCTTGATCTGATTCAGGCTTGAGGACTTTGGGTTCATGGACAGATGTCTGATACGGGAGCCTAAACAATGACCCATACTATTCCTCAAAGTCCCCTATGATACTTACACTATGCGATACCATACCCTAAAACCCCATTCCAATGTTTGAGGCTCCTGTAGTATGCTGTCCGCTTTGACGGGGAATCGGGCTCTTCGCTGGGGTTTGGCGCATGTCATCGCTTCACGGGCTTCGGCGTTCGAAAGCCTTTGTGCCTAAACCCTAGGCCCTGCGGCCAAACCCCCCTCCGAGAGCTCAAAGCTTAGACGGAAGTCCGTAAACCCGAAACCGGAGACCCAGAAAACTTTCTATCCATGAGCCTAAACCCTGGGGCGAGCTTCCAAAGTCCTGAGGCCTTAACTCCGAAAAGTGGACCCACCCCTGCCCACAGCAAAGTCGATTGTATGATTTCTATACTGTAAAATGCAAGACGTATTATACTATGCTGGACTTTGCTATGCTTTACTATACTATGAAATACAGTGATATGATAGGTTGCACATACTATACTATAATATACTATGCTACGAACCGCGCTATGCTTGACTATGACATACAGTGGTATCTGATAGTATAATCTGTTCTCATTCGCCTCTGCTCCTCAGAAACGGCGCTTGCCTCGGACGTGGCGGGACGGAGACGTGGCGGCGAAGACTTTTCGAAGCTGTTCGGCTTTGGGCGGGTCTAGTCGGAGGCCCGGTGCCCGAAGAAGCTGAACTCAACACTCCCGGATCCTTCCCGCATAGTGCAGGCTGAAGGATCCGTGAACCAAAGCTGGGTGATCGGACGTCCGAGATGGCTCGGTTTTGAACTTCTGTCTTGTAGTTGTTTCCGTGGGGCCTCGTTCGTGATGGTTGCTGTTGACGTGATCAAGCAGTGCTATGACACAGAGAGTCGAAGCAGGAGAACGGCTTGAACCGTGCCCCCCCCCTGCCTCGTCTTGTTCAGCCTAGACCTATTCCAGCGTCTCGGGACCGAGAAGGGTTCATCCCGAAGCCGCCGCGGCCGAAGCGTTGAGAGCTGGGGCCGGGTTTGGGTCGAGACCTCTCGGAGAGAAGGGGATTTCGGGCGCAAACCCCAAACCCCAAACCCGAAACCCTAAACCCTAAACCCCAAACCCTAACCTCACCGAACCGCCAGAAGAAAGCCAACTTCGGCCATCGCCGCCTCAGGACTGCCCGGTCTGTGAAAGCCTTGATGACCAAGGAGCCCGGGAGCTTTCTGAAACTTTCTTGGCTCCAAGCCCCCGAGACTCTCCAAGAGTTGGTCCGTACTTCTTTTCTGGCTCTGTAATAATAATAATAATGGTAGTAACAGTAATAGGAATACGAGTAACATTGAAGGTCTTTCGGACGTTTTTTGAAGGCTCTGCAGGCTTTCACATACCTTTGGTTAGTAGGGAATGGAGGAATGGGGTAGAATTATAACTACTATTACTATTTCTACCATTCTTCCATTCCAAAATACCCAAAGGTAGGTGCAGAGCCCGCAACCGCTCGTCTGGAGTCCAGAGCTCTGGTCCCTGGGTTCAGAGTTTTCGGTCGCAAACCCACGGACCCCAGGATTCTTCACTGCAGCTTGGGGCGAGGGCTCCGAACTTCCAAAGACGTCTCGGGGTTTGGGGCCTGAGCTTCGATTTCTTCCGGCCCCAAACCGCTTCAAACGGCGAACCCACCCTGAGCACCTTCATAGGGCTTGTTTCTTCCTAAACCTTCGGCCTCCGTTAGACAAGGGTCCTCGACCGCAAGCCCTATCTCAGACTTTCAAATCTACCTCCGACGGTCCAAGGCATTTGCAAACACCCCAAAAACCCCAGAGACATCCCAGGGAGAGCTCCTATAGGCCCTATGATAACCATAGTAGTTCCTTCTTGGGGTTCATATTATATAGAATCCTACATAAGGTAATCCCAGGAAAGGAGCCTACGTCCCTGCAAACTCTCGTGGAGTCTCTTTTAACGAGTGGGAGGAGCTACCTAAGAGCTTCTCTTCGGTGGATGCAGCTTCCTGGACACTGCACGTGCTGCTCCCTGTCTCCAACTCTTGTGCTGACAAGGGTTGACATGAGGGGTTCCTGCAACTTCTAAGGGTGATATTACATTCCTGCTACACGCTCAGCACAGAGATTCAAGAGCCGTGTCCCTGTACGACTCTTGGGTCAACCGGCAGAGTACTGCTGTTGCTTGAAGTTTCGCAAGGCCTGCAGTATTCCGAATCAAACATAAGGACCTCGTCTCCGCGAACCCCCAAAATCCACCAGACATCACCGGACCATGCAAGAGCAAGCTCACAAGCCAGAGAGAGCTTGGCTCCGGTAGGTTGGCATTGCAGCTTCCAGGTGCGGAGGAGGAGGCCTGTAAGGAATCAAAGTAGGGGTAGAGGCGGTAGAGGGCAGAGGGCTCTTGTCGTGGCTTTCGGGCTTTGGTGTTGCTGCCTGGCTTTTCGATCATCCGTGCAACCAGAATTCGAGAAGGCGAAATACGCTGTCGTTTCAGCAACGACCAGTCACTCGAAGAGACGTTGTCCTAGTCCGAGTATCCTAGTCCTAGTTCTGGGCCTAGTCCTCGTTCTAATCCTAGTCCTTGTCCTAGTAGTAGTAGTAGTAGTAGTAGTAGTAGTAGTAGTAGTAGTAGTAGTAGTAGTAGTAGTAGTAGTAGTAGTAGTAGTAGTAGTAGTAGTAGTAGTAGTAGTAGTAGTAGTAGTAGTAGTAGTAGTAGTAGTGGTAGTAGTCGTCGTTGTGGTAGTCGTGGAGTAGTGGCAGTCGTGGTAGCCGTGGCAGTCGTGATAGTCGTGGCAGTCGTGGCAGTCGTGGCACTCGTGGTACTCGCGGTAGTCGTGGTAATCGTAGTCGTGTAGTCGTGGTGGTAGTCGTGGTTGTTGTGAGCATGCCATATCCCTGACACCTTTCAGCAAGTCTCGATGGAGGTCGGGCCGACAGTGGCCTCATGCTTCCGTTCCGCGGACGTTGCGCAGTCTCCGGGTTGCACTAGACCTTATCCCCAAAAAGACCCCTATTCTTCGGACCACTTTGACCTTAAAGACTTCCTCTCTCTCTCTGAATTTTGCGCGGCCTTGGCGGCTTCAAACCCAAAACTTTAGCACCCTAAAACCCTGAAGCCCTAAAACCCAAAAACCCTTAAAGGCCTAAAAACCCTAAAGACTCTTCAAACCCTAAAAGCGCTAAACCCAAAACTCCCCCTCCCTCCGCCGCGGCTGCTTTTCCAAGGACGGCGAAGATCCTGCGCGAGACTGCTCTCTTGGGGGATGCCGCGGCCCTTCCCGCCTCTCTGCTGCATTTCCCGGCTTTTCGGGATTTTGAGGGACGCCCTAAAACTCTGCGGGATTTTTGGGATTTGAGGGTTGAGGCTTTTTTTTTGGGGCAGCTTCGAGGCTTCAAGCCCTCGGCAGCTTCGTAGATCGAAGGGGCGGTCGAACAAAAATGGCAGAGGGCCGACTTCGGAAGTGATCGGAGGGCAAAAACACCCGGAGATCCGGGGGGCCTTCTGAGCTCTTTCGTTGGGGTATCTCATCTCCTGCTTTTCTTTAGAAGGAACGAGGAATTCAACAGAAAGGAGCCCTAGCCTACATCGTAACCCCCAACCCGAAAGAATCCCTGTGTCATGAATCCGCGGGAGTCTTGCTGGGGTCATGGCCTTCTACAGCAAACTGAAACCCTGAGCCACCAAGAAGCCTTGAACCCTATTATGGGAACCCTAATCCCTACTAAACCCTCATAGTTAGGCTAAAACCCTTTTGGCCCCCTATGAAACTCTAATGGAGCCTCTGAATCCTAAACCCAAGAAAGGCAAGCAAAGAAAACCCAAAGACCAGGGATCGGGCCCGAAACCCCGAAGGTAAGCCCTAAACCCTCAGACCTTCAGAAACCCTGCAATCCCTAAACCCTTTAAACCCCTTAAATCCCTAAAACCCGTTAAACCCCTTAAATCCCGAAAACCCTTTAAACCCCTTAACGCCCTTAAATACCCCCTTAAATTAATTAAACCCCTTAAAGCCCTTAATTAAACCCCTTAAAGCCCTTAAATCACCCCGTAAAGCCCTTAATTAAACCCCTTGGAGCCTTCAATTATCCCCCTTCAAGCCCTTAAATAAACCCCTTCAAGCCCTCAATTATACCCCTTAAAGCCCTTAAGTAACCCCTTTAGAAACCTAAACTTCACTGAAGCCCCCGCCCCGCCCAAAAAAAGGACTGGGTCCTGCCGGAAGAGCTCTTGGCACGGAGGCAGCGGCTCCGAGAGGCTCTCTCCGCAGGCCTTGAAGGGGCGGACTTTGTTTTTTTTTTTTTTCTCCTTTTTCTTACGTTTCTTTAAATCTGTTCTGGAGTTTTCTGGGTTTTTTCATGAGATTTTATAGGGTTTTGTGGGGTTTCCTCAAGTACGAGGGGCGCCTCTGATGGGTTCAGGTTTGCTGGGGCTCTCTCGGCAGTGACTTCGGCTAGTCGTGTGGACAGTTTCGGAGTTTGAGTGGAGTTTCAGGGATCGGCGATTGGATTTTTCGGTATAATTGCAGATGCGGCATGCAGAGCTCTCCCTGTGCAGAGGAGACGATGAGAAGCTGCATGGGGCATGCCAGAGCTTGGTGGAGATGGGAGGCTGGCAGTTGACGCTACAATCGCCATAGGTTAAAGGTGTGACTTGGTGTTTGGGATGGTATTAGGGTTTAGAGGCTCTCCTCTCTGGCAACGTCGCCCCAGTGTGTTTTCTGCGTCTGCGAGGCATACGTCCAGACGGCTTTCTGGGAAGTTGTTGCTGTTTCTTTTGCGACAGCTGATTCTGGAGTGCCGCGGTCATCATTATTCAATGAGGCTTCTTTCGCCGTTGTCCTCATCTTAACAACTGTATTGGTCGGTTGCTAGCTAGTTGTTATCCTTGCTCTTAGCATGTCTTCGGATTTAGAAGTGTTGCTTTAGCAGCTGCTGGGCTGACCAAGACGACGATCACACGATGCGGCAATGATAGCAATGGTGGCCTTGCAGAAGGATGTTGATGAGGTTGTTGATGATGAGGATGATGGTCATGACGACGATCACGACGACAAAGTTGGCCCGAGTCGTCTCATGGCTGTGCTTGTTGCTGGCTCTTGGCTTCCAGGCCTTGCAGCCTGCCAAGCCGACCTGCAGCGTGGCTTTGCGACACGGACAATTTCATCTTCAGGGCACGGCGCGGTTTTGTTGACAAAATCTGCGAGGCTCCGGCCTTATAAAGCCTTTTTACCCACAGCCCTAAACCCTTGACTGCCTTGACGTCAGCCTGAACCCTAAGCCCTAAACCCTTCAGGGTCACCGACGCCTTATAGTATCCCCAAAGCCCCAAACCCTTTTCAAGGAGCCCTTAAAGGGTACCGGTGAATCCCTGAAAGGGTTCTTTAAGGTATGTATAGGAGTTCCCTTAAAGGGCACCCTTAGATTTCTTAAGGGATCTCTAGGAGTCCCTTTAAAAGGGCACCCCTTTGATCCCTTTAGGGAATTTTTTAGGAGTTCCTTTAAAGGGCCTTTAAGGCACTCTGAAGCAGAGCTCAGGAGCGGCTCCAGAGCCTCTTCCGGCTGCCCGCGGCCTGGTCCATGGAGGCGCTCCTGGCAGGAGATGCTTGGGGGCATCTACTCTCGGAAAATAGAATTCTTGGGGCATATACTCTCGGAAAATAGAAAGGGAGGGAGGGAGGCAGGGGGGGGGGGTTAGTTCATTTTTTTTTTTCGGTTGTGGTTCGCGTCTCTCGACGCGCTCATCAATTCAAGCAGGCAAGCTAGAGACAAGCAAAAACTGCATCGGTCTCCGACCTGATTGCAGATGGCTCGCCTATAAGTATCCCGCGAGTGTGTGCTGCCACCACCCAGTTCTCAAGCCGAAAACTGATGGGGCCAGCAGCAACATTTTCGGGGAAAGGTAACCCAATGCCAATTTGCCATTCTACGTCACGGTTGATGAGATCTGCTGTGGCTGGACAGAACTCCTGCCGGCCGAAATGCTCTACCAGTCGCATACCACTAAAAGAAAAGAGGAGTAGAAGTCACCGCTGCTATGGTTGGCAGCGGCGAGAAGCCTTGAGCGAATGCCGGGAGCGGCTGGAGCAGGGACTGGCAATGGTAGGGTGAGGCGACCCCAAAGTGGTTGAGGGCCCACCAATGCATTGGGTGGCAGACCTCTGCCGGACTGGGCTCTGGACCTCCGGGGTGTGATCTCCGGCATTATACGAACGGGAGCATGCCGGGCTTCCACGGAGATGCTCACGTAGGCGCCCGTGAGTCCAAAACTCACGCATGCAGAACTGACCAGCAGTGCCAATGGTTGCAGAAGACGGAGCAAAAACCCCCAAAGTGCACTTTGACACCTTGCGAAGCGCAAGCCGCTGCTCTTGCAAACTGAGTTTGACACCCTCGAAAGGGGGGTTTGGGCTTAGGGCAAGGGAGGGGCCGGGGTTAGGGGGGTTTAGGGTTTAGGATTCCTTGAGAGGGTTCTTTCCATGGTTTAGGGTTGAGGGATTAGGGTTCCTTTACAGGGCGTAGGGTGTGGGGTTCTCCAAAGGGTTTAGGGTGTTGTAAGGGTTTACGAGGTTACTTCAAAGGGGCGGCTCTCTTTCTTTCCTTTCTTCTCCATAAGTAGGGCTTCGGGGTTGTCGTCAGAAGAACCGGCTTCCCTGCTCTGCTTAGGATGTTGCAATGGGCTTTAGACGTTCTTGTGAAGGGGCTCTAGGGTTTCTTTACTCAAGTCGTGTGGTACACGCTATGTTGGGCGTGCTCTTGGATCCCATCAGTACCGGACTGGGTGCCCGTGATGTAATCTACTTACCGCGCGGCTCTTCACGGTTGCCATAGTGACAGGCCGTTTTTGTTTTTGATTTTTTCGGGAGGTTTGGGTTATGGGCAAGACCGTGAGGAGGATCGAAGAAGAAGCTGCTGGCCAAGAACAAGGCCCGGTGTTTGCGCTTGAGGTCTTGAGGTTCGCTATTGGGCAGGCTTCAGGGAGAATCACTGGGAAGATCATCCTAAACCCTAAGCCCTAAACCCTAAACCCTAAACTGTTCTGCTGGCAATCGGCCCCTTACAGTCCCGAAGGCCTGACTTCGGAAAAAGAGGGCCTTTGAAATGGGATTTTCCGAAAATTAGGGGTACCTTATTTTGGGGTCCATATATTAAGGATCCTACTATTTAGGGTACTATATTAGGGTCCCCTATTTTCGGAAACTCCCACATCGGATTCCGTCAAAGAACGACGAAGCCAACAGTTGCAACACTCTGAGGCAAGAATCTTTCAAATCTCCAAATCCTGAACCGGCAGATAGTCTACATCCACGTCTACGTCTGTGCGTCAGCTCATGTAGCTGTCTGTATGCATGTTGGTACGCATACCAGCAATGAGAGGGCAGAGTTCCTTCGCGGCCGGTTCGCAAGAGGGTTGCAGCCTTTTCTTAGATGGGCCCCGAAACGTTTTTTATCTATCACAGCCATCTTTGTTATCGTGGTAATGACTATTGCTGTGGTGTTGTTGCTTGTATTGTGCTCAATACTACGAATTGCTGTTGCTACAAGAGAAGCACAAATTTCGGCATCACTATCATCATCATCATCAGCATTCTCATCCTTACTCTGATTTTTCTCCTGCCTATAATTTACTGTGCTCTTGGCTGACAGGTTGCCAAATCCTACGCTTCGAGGCCCTCAAACCCCAAGCACTACACTTTATATGAAAGCGCAAACCTCGAACTTGAAAACCGAGGAAGTTTTGAGCCCATGTTTCCGGCGGCTTAGGTGCATGCTCAGCTAGGGGCTCGCACGCTCCCGAATGTCTAGGGGCCCTTTCCTAGGATGCCCAGTAGTACCCTTATTCCCTTTTTGTAGTCCCAGGTTCCTTATAAAGTTACCCAGTACCAAAAAGAGAGGCCTTTTTTTCTTAGGTTACTGGGTATCCTAATTTCTCTTATGGACAGTATGTGCCAGGGTATAGTCACCCACAGTATACATAGGTTGCTCGGCTTCTGGGGTTACTGAAGATCGAGTGCGAGATGGATGCCCGTTCCATTCCCGACAGCCAGCCGTCAACTTTGCACCGTTACCCAGCTTGACAACAAGGTCACAGACTCGGCTCTGTTATCAAGCTTTGCCATGCCCTTTGGCCGCAGGAGCTATTCAAACCGAGAGAGTTGGGGCGAGAGGGTTGAGGAAAGGTCAGGAGATGAGTGCAAAGAGACCTTGCGCAAGCGGACGGGTCCTTGGAACCCGAGGGACCCGGATGGCATGACCGTAAATTTCTGAGGGCGGACTGACCGGCTACTAAGTCGATTTTGACTAGGATCTGCAATGACTGTATGCCGAAGACCGAGTTGATAGCCTAAGTAGTCTTCTAGGCCTGTGCCTTGCTGCGGCGAGATTGGGATGAACGTTTCGTTGTTTTGGCTGTGGTGCTCTCTACCGAGTCTTGTTACGAACCTGCTCCTCCTTCTACTCCAACTCCTGCTCCTACGGCTCCCACTACTACTATACTACTACTACTACTACTACTACTGCTACTACTCCGACTCTGCCACAGCCACTCTGATGATGCTTGGAGGCTCCTCCGCGAGACCACTCACAGCGTCCGCACACGAGATCGGACGGGTGGGCTGCCTACGCCCCTTGCCGTTGGTTAGGGTTCAGTTGAGGGGTTTCGGGGCAAAGGCTTGTTGCTTGCCTTGGGTGCACAGACGCTTTAGAGTATAGGGGTTTCCAGTCATGGATGAAGGAACGGAACCCGTCCATCTTCCACTGCTTTCATTGATTTTAAGCTGCCATCCCGAGGAGATATGAGCTACGTGGGGCCGTCGAAGTGATGAACGCGGCTGCGTGGGCGACGTACCAGCAGAGGCCGGCACCGAGAGGATTTAACAGCTGGGAACCGTGCCGTTCTTACATCATTCATGTCTTCGGTTGTCTTCTGGGCAATTTGCAGTATGCGGCTCAAATTGAGACCCGGCCCGAACCCTCGTAGCAAAAGCTCGGCCGCAGCCCTCAGTCTGAAAGCTCCGGTTTTGGGAGGCGTGACGGCATCGTCAGCGACTGCGACCGGCTACCTGAGGCCTCCCACGGCAGAGTAGGGCAGGTGAAGCCTTGCGCTTTGGAGAAGTAGCAGAGCTCATGCTGTTGCTGTTCTTGCTACTGCCGATGCTGCTGCTGTGGTGGCGGTTGTGATGGTGGCCTCGAGGCCCAGAAACTCCTTGGTCCGGCACCGCCAAAGCCAGCTTCAATCGTAGCTGACAAGTAATCGGACTTCCCGAAGGCCTTTTTGCCCTTCCCCCAGAATGAGACCTAGGCATCACGGCAGATGGAGAACTGGCAGGACTTTGGGCAAGACTTATTCGACCTGTGTCAGCCGGGGCTTGGTTGAGTTCCTTCAAGATCCATGTTCTGGTGTGTTCATGCCGGAGGTGAAGTGTCTTGAGCTCTCCCGTTTCAGCTGTAATCTTCGTGGAGCTACCTCGTGCAAACCTTGTAACTTGGTCCTGTAGTCTGTCATCTGTGCTGCGGTCCCATGTCTACAGGTCCTGCTCATTCAGAGCTTGAGTAGCATGTCGTCTGCAGCAGCTAGCAGCTATGCCTCGCAGCTGCGAAGAAGCCTGCCACTACTTCTGCGCTGCTGCTACTGCCGTTT